GGGCGGATCGTGGGCGAGTACATGCCTCCCGATCCTCGCCCATCAACCTCGACGGATTTCCCCATCCCCGTCCCCAGCGACTAAACGGGGGGAAATTGGCTACCGTCCCCATCCGCCGACGGATTCGGGTAACCAACGGATCCCCACGGATCATGGTCTAAACAAAAAAAAAACACTTTCTGAATAATTCCTTTGCATTAAAATAGTTACTTGATGGTCAAGCCACCGAAATAGAAAACAAAACAAAGAAAGATCTGGGGCTGTAACCCATATCCCACCACCCAGCACCCATATCCTAAAATTCAAAATTCAAGTAACAGGCTGCAGCAAACAAACTGCTGCAACCTTAATCCCACCACCCAAAACCCATCAATCATGTTCATCGTGCTAGTACTAGTGTTCAAACTTAAAAAGAACATAAAATGAAAAACAAAGGCATTCAGCCTAATCGTTCAGAAATGATGAAATGAAACGAGCAGCAATGATGTAGCTTGTCCACGCTGGAGACCAACTTTCCTCGACCTCAACGGATTTGAACAACATTCCTCCTTTGTCACAAGTTCCATTTGTTCTGTAAGAAAGAAAACAAGAGTGTTAGAGAATTGAAACTATCAGTAAAACTCATCAATCGTAAGTATTGTGCTACTGATCACTAGCATTTCACCTTTGCACTGGTTTTTCTCAAACTATCAATCATCTAGGGATAGTGGACGGTTCATATTGCCAAGTTCCTCTTGTTCTGCAAGTAAGGAAATAAAGGTGTTAAGAGAATTGAACTAAGATTAACAAGGAAACGAATTGAAGAACCAACTAACTTACCCTCTGTTTGATCTTCAACACTTGTATCTGCAAGTGCTAGAGCTGAAAACAATCCTTCCATTGCCTCAACATTAGCCTTCGACTCTGCAAAAAATGAAACAAAGGAAAATAGTTAGAACAATGAACACTCTAATAAACCAGAAAGTTCAGTTGTTGTAGATTACCTTGTTGCATTGAATCAATGATCCAATTACGAGTACACATCATTGCCTCCACTGTATTGTAGTGAAGCCTACTCCGGTGAGGGTCTAATAACCTTCCACCAGAGCTGAAAGCAGATTCAGAAGCCACTGATGTGACTGGAATGGCCAGGAAATCCCTTGCAATTGCTTGTAAAGTGGGGGGGGGGGGGGGTACTTAAGGCCATTAAGTTTCCACCACATCAATATATCAAAGTCCTTAGATCGTTTGGGAATAAGATCCTCAAGAAGATAGTGATCGAGCTCAGTATGAATCAGAGTCGTTTTGCTCTTTTTCCTCTGACTCACAAAGAGCTCGAAATCAAGATCATCACTTACAGAACTAGAAGAACCACCAGAAGCATATGAAGAACCAAAATTCTTCTTCTCAGCCTTGGTTTGGTAGTCGAGAACCAAACCACAAATACATTCCCTTATTTTATCAGCCACCAATGCAGTATTAGTGCTTCCAAACTTGCCAGCATAATACTCAACTACATGCATCTTGTATTTAGGATCAAGAACTACTGAAACTGCCAGAACCACATGTACCTCATCCCAGTACTTGGCAAATTTCTCCCACATGCTTTTAGCCATACTAGAGACAAGACTATTGGAATCAGCACACCATTCCAGCAATTTCAATCTTAAATCACAGATCTTGGGGAAAAACAGATGGGTAGTGGGATACTTGCTACCAGAAAATAGCTAAGTAATCTCACTGAAGATTTCAAGCTTCTCAATGATAATGGCAGCAAACTGCCAATGCATACTAGTAGGGACAGTATTGTATTGACTATCCCTCTGTCTCAATCGAGAGAACACATCTCTGTATATAATAGCAACAGACAGCATATCATAGGTGGAATTCCACCTTGTAGGACAATCAAGCACAAGTTTCTTTGTACAAGTCACCTTAATCTGTTTAGCAGTTTCAAAGAAGGTCTGAACCCTCTTAGGTGTAGAGTTCCAGTACACAACACTCTCCCTAACCAAATCAATGCCATCCCTGATGACATCCAAACCATCTTGTACAATAAGATTAAGTACATGAGCAGAACATCTCATGTGAACCAGCATACCATCCAACAACAAATCATCCATAACAAGTTTGGTTTTCAGATGGGTTACCATAGCATCGTTGGTGGTACAGTTATCCAAGATAATAGATTACAACTTGCTATCAATATTCCAATCAATAAGACACTTGAACAACCTGTTTCCCAGCCTCTCACTAGTATGAGGAGCAGGCACATAAACAAAACGTAACATCAAGTTTCTTAGCTTCCAAGAATTGTCAATAAAATGAGAAGTTACTGCCATATAACCCCTCTTCTGGTTGGGTGCAGTCCACATATCAGTGTTCACTGCAACTCTCCCAATATTACCATCAAGAACCCTTCTTAAACTTTGCCATTTCAACCCCATATAACCCCATTATGTCATTCTTCACTGTACCCCTACAAGGCACAGTGAACTGTGGTTGCAAAGAACAACAAAAACGTCTGAACCCCAAGTGTTCAACAATACTTAGAGGATATTCATGGACCATAATCATTGAGCACAATTCCTTCCTACACACATCTGAACTGAACTAAGAAGCGGATAGCAGTGGTTTTCCAGTTGGTTTATAATCAGGACCCAGAACTCTCTGTCTACCATCATGTATCTTTCTTTGGGTACAAGTTTTATAATGGTGCCTCAGATGGGAGGTTCCATTAATAGTATCACCACCAAGTCATTTTTTACAGTAACGACACTTAGCCTTAACAACACCATTAAACTTCATTCTAACAAAATGAGGCCAGACATCAGAATTCAACTTCTTATCTTCCTCAAGAATGACTTCACCAGTTTCAATCCCATCAACCAAAACATCATTACCATTACCAGTACCATTACCATTACCGTTAACATTACCATTAACATCAGGATTTAGAGAACTAGGCACATGAGGATTTCACATTCAAAGCATCATTTTCAATTGCACCATCCATCAACATAAACAAAAAGTACAATCATTCAATCTTCAAGACTCAGACAGAGCACACAAGCAAGCAATCGACACATGCAAGCTACATATACAAATTAGAAAACAGAGCGGATTTAGAGTCAGGCTATGCCTAACCTGTAATTTGGAGAGGTAGGATTTGTTGACCAGACTGCAGATGGGGACTTGATGCATGATGCGAACCTGATGAATTCGAACAAGGAAAAAATAAAAACAACTTTGTGTTAACATTCATCGAATGATAAAGACCGAGTTAATAAACTAGGAAAATTGAAGTTTTAAAAGTGATTACCTCGACTGTGTTCTGAGCAGAGTGAAGGTAATGATGAACGGAAGAACTTAGAACTGAGGTTGCGGGTGACCCTGAAATCAATCGACAGGGTTACTATATATATGAAAGCAGAAGAAGATGGAATAGATAGGAAAACGAAAGGAAAAGGGAGAAGGAACTTATCTGTCATCTGTGATGATATCACGCCGATTTCTCCCAATAATTATGAATCGAAGATTGCAACAGCCATTTTAGGGTTTGCATGTTGTTTCCCGGCCAAATCGGCAACAAAACAAGCCGCCGATTGGCCATATTGGAGGATTAATGATTGCCTACAAGCGATAAACCAGTGGATGGAGAGGATTTCGTGGGGAATCGGCGAAATTTTTGAGCTAAATCAATGCTCACGTGCTTGGGTGGAGAGAAAATAGAGAGGAAGATGAAAGGAAACGGCGGCAGTCGACAGAAAGAAAGAAGAGGAAATGAGGGATTAGGGTTTCTGGGTCTTTCTTCGGCCTTTATACCCAGCTACCAAAACGGCGTCGTTTTGTGGACGGACGGGGACGGGGCGGATACTTCTCGATCCATCCCCATCCGTAACCCACTTCTGACGGATTTCGAGTATGCCCGAATCCGACAATTACCCACTGCGGCCGGTTATTGAGACCTCCATTTGGTCGGGTTTCGAGCGGGTACCCGACGGGGCGGCCAGGATTGCCATCCCTACTTTAACTTTATCAAACAAATAGACTCCCCCTATTCCTTCCCTTTCTTTTCTCCGTCGCTACCAAGCAAACAAGAAACCCAATCTTCTCCGCTCCGAAAACCTCTACACAAATCCTCCGCCACCAACCACTACTGTTGTGAGTCCACATCCGACCCGGCTACACCTACGCTACGAGACCTACACCGATCTAGCACCATGCCATCTGAGGTTTCGCCGCCGCTCATGCTCTTCGGCCATTACCTCCCCTTTTTCAGATCGATCCAGATCCACTGCCCCTCTCAAGAACTAAAGCCATTCCGGGCCTTCATCTTTGCTTCTTAATCGTCGCTCCTCCACTCAGTCCGTTATCCATCATCTCTGTGCCTACCACCTCGTCTCCTCATTTGATGATGTTTTACCATGTTTTTTCTCGGATTTTTGTTGACTCGTTTGGGGGTCAAACTGCTAGGGGTATGATTTTTGGCTTTTATGCTCGACCTGTTTTGATTGTATTCTTGGTGTTCGCTTTTGCGGTTCCAGGTTCTGCAAATTGAAGCTCCTTCGCCCTTCCCTGGCCTCCCGTCTCCAGATCTATTGCAAACCCTGCTTCTCTGCATTCAATTTCCCCTGCTTCATATATACAATAGAGTATTATCAATAATAATATTTCTCATCTTTTAATTAGTATGATATCAAGCAAGGAGCATTTTTACTATGGTATATAGCATTGGTGTTTTAATGTACAACTTAAAGTTGTACCATAACATTAAATGTATAAGTTTAGGTTGTACCATAAAGCAATTTGTATCATTATGTTATGTTACAACTTTACAACTTGAAGTTGTACCATCACATAAAGGTACAAGTTTAAGTTGTACCATAAAAGAATTTGTACCAAAAGTATAGGTACAATATGAAGTTGTACCATAACATATATGTACAATTTTAAGTTATATCATAAAGGCAAAAACCTATAGCACCAATACTATATATCATTGTAAAATTTCTCTCAAGTAATAGCAAAATAGACTTTTCATAACATTTCGATCTGTTTGTGAGTTTTGGTTTTGATGTTGCTTTCTTTATTCGAATTATAGGTGAGGAAACTGGATCAGTTGCTGCAATTTATGGTTTGGGATAGGATCAGTAACCACTGGTTACTGACCTATCAGTAAGCACTATACCATATGGTATTGGGTGGTAACGAAATATATTTTGGTATTACCACTCTATACCATATGGTATTGGGTGGTAACGAAATATGTATTGATATTACCATACTATACCATATGGTATTGGGTGGTAACGAAATATATTTTGGTATTACCACTCTATACCATATGGTATTGGGTGGTAACGAAATATATATTGATATTACCACACTATACCATATGGTATTGGGTGGTAACGAAATATATTTTGGTATTACCACTCTATACCATATGGTATTGGGTGGTAACGAAATATATATTGATATTACCACACTATACCATATGGTATTGGGTGGTAACGAAATATATATTGATATTACCACACTATACCATATGGTAGTAACGAAATATATATTCATGTGGCAAAAATTTCCATACCATATGGTATGCTCTTATTTAATACCAATCAATACCATATGGTACAGTCAAATACCATATGGTATAACTGGTAATAACTGACAAATTTTTTTGTGTCCAAAAAATATCAAAGTGGATATCATTTTAAAGAGCACAATTAATCTGATCTAACTGTGCAAAAAAATTAAATTTCGACTTAAAACGAGTGAGAAATCGTCCGTTAAAGATTAAGGGAAGGAAAATTAAATGTTTTGCAAGGAGAGAGAAGGAGGCGCTGATGTGGTACGCTCAAAAGTCATCCTCAGCAATAAATAGGAGAAAGTACAATTTTACTGTACTGCCCTTTTCACATTTAATTTAAATAAAAAAGTGACTGACACGTGGGGACCATGGAAGGGGTTACTGATGGGTTACTCACCCATCAGTTACTGACCTGATCTGGACCCGCAATTTATGAATTGCTTTTCATGCAATTTTGGAAACCGTATTCTTCCTTCAGGGCCAAAGATTGTGACTGACTAAGTGATTGCAAGGTAAAAAGTTGGTCAAATTTTTTATATTAAGCTAGATCCATATAATCGATAGAGGAATAAAGTACTTAAGAAGCCAAACAAGGTTACATGCAGCTTCTTGTGGATTTTGTTTTCTTGTTTCTCTTTTGGGTTGAAATTGTGATATTTAATATGAGAACCAGAAGTATAAAGTTTAGATGTTTGATGCAGAATCCAGATAACCGAACCCAGATAAGGTTCTGCAGATGTTTGCTCCTTTGATGTGAATTAGAAAATGACGTATTACAGGTTAATATATTAAACCTTGAAAGAAAGTATGATCATTTAGGCAATTTGGGTCCATAAGGACTTGATGCGTTAGTGGCCTTTTTTTTTTTTTTTATTTGTATCCGTTCAGGCATTCTGATCTCTGTCTTTTCAATTCTCATTTGATTTGTTAAATATGTTGCAGCTTGCAGGTTATTTTCAGCATGGGGATGTTAAGAAGATTTGGTTTGTGAAGGAAGTACTTAGCACTCGGGAGCACTTTCAAGAAGTATCCATCAACCATTTCTTTTTCTTTTAGATGGATTTGTTGATATTCAATGCATGTATATGATTATGATTGACTAATAGATTACTTTTGCTCTTGATATTAAATAATACCACGTCATGGTACCAGTTAGATATGGCCAATTACTAATGGGGTGTAAGATTCAATCCCATTTATTCATGAAAAAAGGTCAAATTTCTCGCGGTGATACATCGCCTCTCTATGATTAGACAAAATCATGTGACCGAAGATTCCATTAGTCACGAGAAATCCTATTGTTGTTTCATTATTTTGTCACGGTAATTTTCCCGTGTTTAAATATTAGTCATGGGAAATACAGTGACAAAATAGATCTTATGTCACGGGGTTTTTCCGTTATTGTACTCTTACCTATTACGGGATTTCCCGTCATATTTAACCTTTGATCACGGACATGTTTGACACGGGAATATACCGTGACAAAAGCTTTCCATCACGGGAATTTGATTTTCAGTCACGGAAATCCCATGATCGAAAGTGATTTTTACTGTAGTGAGCATAGGGTGGTTGTATGGTTGATTATACTGAACATAATAACCACAGGAGATAAATTGAATGCTTGGGGCAAGATAAATGATGTATCATGTGTCGTGTTGTAGAGCAAAGTAGAAATCTCCTCTTTAGCCACTGGGAGTATGCTAGATAGTTCTTTTCTGCAGTTTTTGGGACTATGGTTCAACCTTGGCCTTGCACATGGGAGCACACTTTGAAGGAAGCCAGTGATGTTAGAGTTTACCGTGCATGCACTTTTGTGTTGGTATGTAAGCTTGCTCCGGAGGAAAAGATGTAACATTTTTTGGAGGGCAAAATCCAAATTGGTTTCCATTGTTTTGTCGCTTTAAAGAGGAGTTATTACTAGTTGCCTTGAGGTTGACTACGATGTAGTCACTTTTTATATATAAAGGTTGTTTTGTCCCCGTAACTTGCAAGTTGCAAGTCACCGTAACTTGGACATAACGATCGACCTCTTTTCTGATATGGTCGACCTATTTGGAAAAAACGGTCGACCTCTTCATTGATATAATCTACCTATTTGGACAAAATGGTCGAGCTCATTGTTGGAATGGTCGACAAATTGTACTATTTTCCGTTTTGCTATGCTAAACAAACGGCCGACCTCTTCCACTAAAATGTCGTCCACTATACAACAAATGGTCTACCACTACCATCAAGTGGTCTACCTCTTTCCCCAAGCACACCACCGCTTTCAATAACAGGTCCAAGTAATGAACCACTGCTAGTGATATTGTCACATAAAATTAGAGTCCAATAATAATCATAGTTAGTAAAATACGGTACGAGAAAGTTATAAATAAAATACGTACGGGTATTTTACATCGTCTTTAAGCTAATGTTATGTTTAATAGTACGTTAATATTCATAAACATATAAATTAAATTATTTAAAAAATAAATAAATATGTAAATAATAGTAAAATTAGCAATTTAATTCATTAAATACGGATATTAAACGTGATATACGGGTTTTATACGTGTTTAGTACGAGAGACATAAAATGAACGGAAAAAAATGAAACGACTTGACAACAATATGGATACGAAAGTTTTAGACTAATAAAATACGTATGGGTACATATACGTGTATTAAACCGAGTATTTACTAACTATGATAATAAATGATATGCTTACTAGTAAGAGATTTAGAATTAGTACAAAGGTTGCAAGCAAAGATGACAAGTTTCTAAAGTGATCTCTCACGTAGATTTGAAAAATGTTTCCCATATTTATTTCTTATATTTGACTTACTCTATAGAGACTTTCATATTTCCTTCAAAGTCTATGTTTTCTTGTTTCTATCCTATAGTTATCTTGTGATGGATCAACTTTATTGTTATTGTTGTTATAAAGATACTCAAAAAGTAGAGTGTATTTGTTATATAATTGAGTCATCTTTAATGTTCATAAATCTCGTATCATCACTTTTGTGCATTTTTATTTCAGAAGAGTTGAAAGAGGGTATTTCTTTTTGTCTTGACCTATAATCTGCGTAGAGATTTGGTTGCCACAGGTGATAGGATGTTGTGTTACTACAAAACAATTTTATATTGTTGGCTTCCTTTTGTCCATTATTTTCATAATGTAAGTATAAGGTAACTGTGTCATCTGTTCGACCATTCGCCGAAAGCGGAGATCATTCACTGAAAGAGGTACGTAAACCATTTTGCATATTCGGTAGGCTGTTGGCGAAAATGGTCTACCTCCTCCAACAAGTAGGTGTAAGTTGAAGGTAAGCGTGTCACAGGTCGACCCATTGCCAGAACCGGTAGACTGGTTGCCTCAAATGGTAGACCGCTTGATGGAAGTGGTAAACCATTTTCATGGAAAGTGGTCAAGCACTTGGTGAAAGAAGTCGACCACTTAAAGGTAATTGTGTCATCAAGTCGACCCATTTCCAACAAGTAGGTGTAAGTTGAAGGTAAGCGTGTCACAGGTGAACCCATAGCCAGAACCGGTAGACTGGTTGCCTCAAGTGGTAGACCGCTTGATGGAAGTGGTAAACCATTTTCATGGAAAGTGGTCAAGCACTTGGTGAAAGAAGTTGACCACTTAAAGGTAATTGTGTCATCAAGTCGACCCATTTCTAGAAGCAGTAGACTGGTTGACTCAAGTGGTCGACCACTTGGAATGTAACTGTGTCATTCATTAGGTAGACCCATTTCCGGAAGTGGTAGACCGATAGACTCAAGTGGTAATGACTAGGGGTGGACATCGGGACGGGATTGGGTACCCGTCCCGTTTGAAAAGGGTACCTAATCCCATTAGGAGAATAAACTCCATACCATGTCCTAAGCCCGTACGATATAGATTTGGGTGGTTTTTTGTTATTTGGGATTCCATCCCCTTTCAGTTCATGAGTGCTCGTCTTTCCCACAATTGGACATTTTATCCCACACGATTTCTGCATAGATGGCACGAATTGTTAACGGGCTGTAGAGTGTAGACATTCAGTTTTCAATTAATTAAGAAGACCTCGCAGCTGGTGAGGGAGATTGGGAGGCAGGTCTGTAGATATTTTTCATGCAATTCCAATTCCTATTTGTCTCTCTCTTTTAATTTTTCTACCCTTGCGTTGCAAGGTTTCCAGTAAGCTGATCAATGGCTAATTACTTTCTTTATTTGTCTTCCCTTAACTTTACATATGCACAGAAGCTCAAGTGCTATCAAAGGAATCAAGTTTTTTCAAATATATGTAGTTATCAATTTTTTTAGTAAACGTCTATGCGCTTCATTGGATGATCAATCATTGATAATGAGCTATGTTAGACTATTGCAGTATTGTATTTGTATAGTGAATAAATCGTAATGGGTATTACGGGTACCCATACTATCCAAACGGGTATTAGCGGGTAACCCGCGGGTACCCAATGTAGAAATTCTTAATCTCAAGTCCCATCCCATAATAAATTTTACGGGTATTTGGGTACCCGTAACCCTCAAAAAACGGGATGGGTATGGGTATACCCAAATACCCGTTTCCCGTTTTCCACCCCTAAGACCATTTGACGGAAGAGTTCAGTCATTTTCTTGAAAACTTATGATGTTGTAGTTATTGCCTATGTTTGGCCCGGCTTTTAGAAGTGCTTTTCGGCTTCAAAAGTTGAAGCAGGGCCAAACACCTCTAAAAGCTCGGCTTTTGAAAAGCCGAAAAGCGCTTTTGTATAACATAAAAGCAGAAGCTCCGATTTGGAGCTTCTGCGAAAAGCTGTTTTGAAAATACAAGATTATCCTTACCATATTTTTATTTTATTTCAGAAAATATAATTTTTCTTCATTTATATCATTTTAAAAATAAAATAAATTATAAAATCATATTATTTAATACAAAAGAAATCTAACAAGATCCATTTTGACTACTTTTTATTGTTTATAATTTTTATTTATATTTTATATTATAAGTTCTTTATAGTCGTTTTACACAACCGCTTATATTAAAAAGTACTTCTAATAGTTTTACAGCCAAACACTAAACTGCTTTTTTTGAAAAGTACTTATCTAAAAGCTCCAGCCAGAAGCTGCTTCTACAAAAACTACAGCAGGGCCAAACTAAACTATTATGAACACCCTAATTGAAAAGTTGCTCTGAAATAAAATTTTGGTTTGAGAATAAACTCAAATCTAAAATATGCTTCAGCGCTAAATCACTAGCCTTCACTCTATAAGAGGGCTGTATCGTCCATCTGCTATTTAACAATGTTGGCCATGTCTTGTCTTTCCATCCCTTTGTCCTAATTGTAATATATAATTTTGGAAGGAAGCGAACTGTAGCCAAGGAGGAGCTCCTCCCCTGCGGACGTGTCTAGGTGAGTTCTTCCTTATTTTCTTTGCTTAGTATTTAATTTGAAAGGGATGTGTCATTATGATTGGGTCCATTGGATTGGTATATATTGTTAATGTCCAGTATACATCTCGGTCAAACTGTTTAATTTACAGCATACACTCACAAAGAAATAACACTCTATTTCCAACCCTTTTAAAACCCGTTGCTTGGAGGATGATGCATACAATTTCCTCTTGCTCCTCAAGCTGGTGGATTTTCTCTTTTGCTAGGTTATTTATTTATTTATTTTTCTCTCATGTTCTATTATTTCTCGCATTTCTTCTTTTATTTCCTCCCTGGATCATATTTTGTCCTTTTGAATGCAGTCTGGCCAAGTCCTAGATTGGAATCAACAGTACGTTTTGAGTTTTTTTCCCTTTCATTCTCGTTCTACAGCCATTCCTCGTGATGATAGCTAGAAATGGTGGTTGATTGTTGTACTTGTGATTGTGGTGTTGGGTTTTAGATGGATTGGATGCTTGATCGCCAGAGTTGTGTTGCACAGAGATGGCGTCGGGTTTGTCGCCGTCAATAATCCTTTCATCATCATCATCATCGATTTGCACGGTATGTTTTCCCCGTATAATGTCAAATGGCCTCGAATGGAAGGGATCAATTTGGAACGAGCCGTTGTTCTAATTTATATCATTGGGGTAAAGAAGAATTAAGGTAATGTGAAATGTGCAACGACAAAAGGGAAGAGAAAGGAACAAATCATTTGGAGACTTTCCAATGATTTTTGCTTATTATTCTTTCTGATCTCTTCTCTTGTGGACTATCTATATTTTTCTTTTTCCTTTCTGGGAATGAGGGGCTAGCTCGAAGTCAAGTTGATAGTTCCATCAGTTTCAATTATTCCTTGGAGGATATGTGGCTCTCAAATTTGATTGCGGAGGAGTTGTCATCTTTGTTGTGCTCTGGAACCCGATGCATCCGATATCCTAATACAGTTATCGCCAGCCGCCAGGTCATTGGTGGGATAAGACGATAGATGTTATATCTTCGTCAATGACGAGTTTTCTTCGGCTGGTGAAGCGTCTGTTGGTCGTATACTTGAGGAGATGGAGATTGATTTGATTTTGTGGAAGAAACTATCAAAGCCGTGTTTAGGGAACAAGATGACGAAATGACGTCGCAACCTCTTACTTCGATCCTTAAAGTTTCTAATTTAAAAAGACACAAATCAGATGTGGCTCTTGTTCGATACAATATTCATACATGAATAATCCTAGCAATCAATCCTAGCAACGGAGTATAATCGGGTCGCAAGATGAATATCGAGTTGGAATAGCCAGGATCTAAGTCATTGAATCTTCGTATTGCACCATTCACCGTTGGAAGTTGTGTTGATATTTACAACGAAGATCGATGGGGTGAAAGTAACAACAAAATCAAGTATGAATGTCCCAAATATGACCCCCTATGTACTTGTCCTCCTTTTTCTCTATTGAACTGTGTTTCATTTTTCAAATCAGTTTTCCCATCTCAATGTTGTTTTCGCTGTGGAAATTTGACTGATTGTTTAGTTGCCGGGAAAATTGAGTGAAAGATCAGGAAGCTGTAAAAGATATTGAGTGTGAATTTTATATGCTTCATAGAGTAATTGGTGATACAGTTTGGTTGATCAGGCTGTATTGAAAGGGAGTTTTTGGGTTTCCGACAGTGGGATTTTTAGGTTTTTTGTGGTGGTGACGGAGATAAATCAAAATAATATTGTACTATATATGTTTTTATTTTTAATTCACAGTATTTGCTTCACAGTTAACAATTATACTTGTCTGTTATATAGGATAATTTTAATGGAGTTGTACAACCCGTGACCAATGATGTAACGGGCTTCAACGAGAATGATTACAAGCATGGGAAAAAATGAGTCTCTCACACAAAAAAATAATTGATAAACCAAGTGACCAAACTTGTAATTTAGCCTGTTAGAAAAATTCAACATAATGCTCGACTTTGTCTGCATTTCTGTGATGGTTCAAAAGTTCAATACTTACAAATAGTGATAAATTTTCATGCGAAGCCAAATAATTGTGGCTTGAATATGTGATAAATTGAACTATTTAGCATATAGTGTATCCCAAGTTCTTCCTTTATATTTTTATATCATCTTCAAGCACTTTTATGGGAACCACGCTAGGGTGATCAAACAACCACATCCATATATACATGTTAACGCATCTACTATGCTTGGGTCGTTCTTCTCTATTTTGTCTTCTTGTATTCAATATGAAAGGGACACACACTATGTTTGGGTCCCTATAGTCGGTCTGCACTGTTGTTTTCCCGTACATTCATTATTGTAGGCTTTTAATGTCGTCTAGGTTAGCTCTTTTTTGTTTTGTCTGCTTGTACTCAATACGAAAGAGACATATACTATGCTTGGGTCCCTATAGTTTGTGTATACTGTTGATGTGCAGTACATGTATTATTGGATACGTTTAATGGCATTGCATGTGCTTGTACCACCAAATAGCTGTCCATTTTCATTCCTATAAAACATTCCTGGCTTTGAAGAGGATTCTCACAATTCTATAACTTGGCCAGAGCACCTTCAAAAGGCAAAAGACAATCGACGGAGCGAATAAAAAAAGAAACACCATCAATTATAGGACACGAGAGCAGAATAATAAAAAAACCAGCAAGAGAGAAACACACGAGCTTGGGGAGCAAAAATAAATTGTATGCATCATCTTCCAAAGCAACGAGCTTTAAAAGGTTGGAAATAGAATGCTATTTCTTGGTCAATGTATGCAGTAAACTAAACTGTTTGAAAGAGACCAGCATGCATTGCCAAATATATTATTCTAATTTCATCTCATTTCTCTCACAATAGGAGTTCTCCATAATGATGCTTGCTTGCTGCCACCAAATGAACACCATGTTGGTGATGGAAATGCGGGTATACGACAAAAACATATTTTTATTTTGGTCATTACGTTCTCATTACGTCAACGCATCTACCTCTTGAAAATAAAATATAGCTATATAATGACAGTAATAGTTCAATACCAAGAACAATAATAGAAACCCCAATAATTCTCACTTTGTCGTGTCCAATTTAATGTACTTCAACTCTGGTTTGCTTGCAAACAGAACAGAAACTAGCCAACTATTCCATTCTATTTCCACTTCCTCTCCTTGACAACAACTCATGCAACTTGACATAGGTTTATTTGTAATATACTTGATGATAAAAATTCTAGGTATCTAATCGCGACAGTCACAAAATAATACACGCACGCACGGACATTGCTATTCGTCGCCCTAAAATACCTTATTTGTCGCCCTAACTTTGATTAAAATGACTCAAATATCCTTAGGTCTTTCAAACCCGCCGCGGAACGGAAGCCGGAAGGGCTAAAAACCCGTCTCCGGCGAGTTGGGACTTGTCAGAACCTCGCATCCCTTCAAGCTACCATCACTAGCGGGTCATCAGCCTCCCATCGTTTACCTCGCGCCGACCAGTTGAAATTTCCCGACGAAGAGCCTGTGGCGGGGTAGGAGAAAGGCTCTCCATCTCTTCTCAGGATGTTCGGGAGGAGCGCACCTAGCTGCGAACGACGGCGCTCTGTCTCTGTTCACGATGTCATATGCGATTGATTTAGATTCCACCAGACCACCGCATCTCATCTTGTCGGCGATTTCAATTAGAAAGGGTTTCGATATGGGTTTTTAGGATTTCAATTTTTGGGATTTGGGGTTTTTATTAGTGTTATGGTTGTCGTTGTCATTTTGATTTTTGGGTTTCTAGATTCACCCATTCCATTCACACTTCGATTCATGCAGCACTGCGATTCATCTCCTTCAAACAGAAGCAGAGTAGCTCGTTCCCATATCTGAATCGCAACAATCCCCGCCTTGCTGATATTCTCGGAGTCATCGTATAGAGCGAGGTCATCATTCCTACACTTCTTCTTCGTCTTCTTCCTCCTCCGGCTTCGACACTAGAAGAAGATCACCAACGGCACTCAGGGTGAGGTGGCCAGCTGCCAGAGAGAAGAATCCCACAGCGACAACAACGTCCGGGTTGAGGTCGGCGACGACTAAGCAGGGTTAAGGAATTGTTTGTTTGGGGTCGGAGGGTGCGATTGTCAATTTAGTGCATTTTAGGGCGATAAAATTTGAATTTTAGGGCAATGAATAGCGATTCAGCCAAGAAAGAATTGCTTGACTAGGAAGTTTATGCATGATTATATATAGGAACTGTGAATATTATCAATAGGAAAAAATTATAAGGGATTAAACAAATAATAAATAATTAAGTAGGAAATAATTATGGAAAATGATGCAACAGAAGATAAAAATGAAAAGCGTTGAAAAGATTAATTGGGAGAAATAAAAAAATAAATTATGGGGATAATTATAAATGGAATACAAAGAAATAATAATAATAATAATAATAAATAAGGGGGAATACTTATCTGAACCGTCGCTATTGGTATCCCCAGGAAGCGTAATCGTCACACAACCGCGGAATTGTAATCGTCCGTGTTCTTCAACGTCGCCCCCCACTCACTTATGCCCGACGTCAGCAAAGATATATGGTGTTGGCGATGATAAACAGAGGAACAGTGAATCGCAATCTCGGCTCCTGATATCGGACGCGGTTGACAACCGTCATCACGGCCTCCTGGCAGACCCGCTTATGTTCAAAGACTTAAAAGCTAGGGCATTATTTTACGGTCGAACGGAATGTTGGCCATCATTACGACCGGAACCACTGACATGGAGGGGGCACATCCGAATTCCGCCGATCATTTTTGACCAAGTTGGTGGTCGGTTGTCGATGCTTTTTTTACAATTTTGCTTTACTTCTCCATTATATATGCACGATTATGGTTAGTTGTGTAACCGGAATGGTAATTGTCGTTGGAAATCATTCAGCGTGTCGTCGATAGTAATGTGTTGATGTGTGCAGGATTATCTTCATGATGAATTGAGCTTGATGTTAGTATTCTGTAGTTTTTTCTAATTTTGATTGTCAAATTTAAGGTTTATTTTTCCCGGATTTCTTTTGATAACATGGACTCTATTTATAAAAGAATAAGGGCTCGTTTGGATAATTGTTATCTTTTTCTAGATTGTAAACAATCGAAAGGTTTTACTTCTTTGAATTGTTGAAAAGACATTGTTAACTGTGATTGTTAACATAAAGAAAAAAAAGAAAAAATATTTTTTTACACATGACGTAGTCTTAACCAACAAAATTACAGTGATTCGAAAAATTTTAACAACTAATTAGTAAAGGTATTCAGTGGGACAAATAAATAAAAAAGATATAAAGTAGGATGAACAAAAATCTCACAACCCAATTTATAGAATATCTCTAAGTATAAGAGATATACATCTTTATATTTTAGAGTCTCCTTGATGAAAGGTAAACTATGATTATGTCTGCTGACACTATAAATTTATGCTTAAGAGTGTGATTTAACATGCAATAACATGTGAATTTATCTCTTCCACCTCTTCTATTTTCTCCAATTAGTAAATCTAATAAGACTGAGGTACATCCTTTATAATTTGCTGTCATTCAGAAAACTATATTGTCATTGAAGTCATGCACCATTTATTTGTTATGGTAATTAACAAAGATAAAAATTCAACTATTGATTACTTAATTTTTATTCAGGTGTCCACATCTTAAGAAACTTGTACTACCAACGTGGAACCGAATAAAAAGGACAAGCATATGCAAGGCCATACGTTCATGGAAAGAACTTGGATCACTCACAATGCCTAACATAGCTAATCCCCCGAAATTTTAATAATTTATTGTGTTTCTATATCTAATTTGAATGTAAAATGGTTCGTACTTTGCATATATACATACATACATATATGTATATATATATATCATTGCTTTTCAATTATTCTAACTATTTGTTGTGTTTATTTATCATTATGATATAAATCAAAATGTTAACGTTGTTGTTTATTGGATCTGTAACTAATTATAAATTATACATGATGACTTAGAGTCGTTCACGCATTCTCCGCAGCAGAGCGCGGGCTTAGTTGCTAGTTAGGGTGAATTAGTAAGATGAAGTGAATAGGATTCTCAACTCCTATAATTTCTGCTTGTTTTCTTTCCATAGTCAACTATTTTCGTTGTCCCCCCATGTGTTAACTTCTTATAGTGGTTTCTGTGCAGGAAACACCTATTGATGGTGACATGGACTTAATTGCATGCATTAGTTTTTTTGTTGATAATAACTAAGATCCCATGTTTTGTAATTTAGTTTGGTTATTCCAGAGTCCCAAACTAAGTATAAATGTCACTCGTGGTCAGGTTGTGTACACCCAGCCATCAACTAGGCAACAATACAATACAAATGAGCAGCAGCAGAGGGCCATCACCGATAGTCCCTTTACTTGTAGTGGGAGCCCTAGGAATGGCGATTCTTGGTCCTGGAGCCATGACAGCATTCGGCGTCTTGCTTTCATGGTGTCTGCCCATTTATGGAGTCTACCATGACCGAAGCTGGCAGAGACCAGGGTCGTCCATGGCGTATGACAGTGAAGGATACATTTTGGGCGCATTGATTCTGATTCTCTTCTTCTTTGTGTTGTATGCTCTATTGAGCTGCTGGTAAGCATTAACATACTCCAATGGGGTGGGTGGTTTTGCTGTTTTAGGCCTTTCCATTTACGTTTCTTGTTTCCCAAGCTTCAAGGTTTGTTCGTGAAGCCCTTAAGCTCTTTGTTAGTTGGTGAGTAGGCCGGCAAGCTTTGGGGGTATGTTTAGCTGTTAACTAAAAATGTCCCCTGTTGGGCTTGCATTTTGTGTCCTCTCGCATAATATTTGTGTGGTGAGGTACTAAAATGATCGTTTTGTCATGCCGCATCCATTTCTTCGTGTGTGGTTGCTTTATCAGCATGCCCAACCAAGGAAAATGATATTTGGTTGTATATCAGAACAATGGCAACAGAAAAAAAAAAAAAAAAAAAACTTCTCAAAGTATCTACAGAAATGGAGGAGGTTGCCCATACGTGCAACTCAAGCAACCTGACAGCACAAGGAATGGAACCTGAAGCTACTGCTACAATTATGAAACCACATACTGCTTCAACTGCTTGGTCCTTTTCTTATTCTTTAGTTTCCGGAATGCACTCGACTCGATTTGCCGTATTCTCTCCCTGCTCACTCCTATCAATTCCCCTATCTCTTGCAATGTTTTCATCCTTCCATCGTCCAGTCCAAACCGCCACCTGATCACTTGGCTTTCTCTCGGGTTCAGGGTATCTAACACCTTTTCTAGATCCTGCTTCATGAATTGCTTCATTAGCAGATCCTCCGAGGTTTCAGCATCCGGGTCTGCAATAACTTCCTGCAGCAAACAGAACATGAAAGAACCAAACCATTCAAGCTTTTATAAAAGGGTCAAAGCTTAGGAGAATTAAAGATTATATGGCTGGAGTGAGTTACCGAAGGTTTGAGGTCCATGTTGACACCCATCTTCTGGTCGAGAGATCTTGGAGCTTTTGGTGTCAGCAGAACAGCTTCAAGCCTTTTCATGGAAAGCCCAGCTGCCTCTGCAACTTCTTCATTGTTCGGCTGCCTTCCATTTTCACTGTACAATACCCTCCTTGCCTCCTTCACTTTGTAGGAGGCCTCAACCATGTGAAACTGGTCCAGGTTTATTTCGTAAGGAGAGAGGTCGAGGAAGGCATAAACAGACAACTGATATTGCAAAAGGTAGGATAAGCATACCGGTAAGCGTATAGTCCTCGATTGATCAGAGAGAGACTTGCGAACTGCCTGTTTAATCCACCAATGAGCATAAGTTGAGAATTTGAAGCCCTTTGAAGCATCAAATTTTTCTGCACCCCTTACAAGGCCTCTGCAACCTTCCTGTTAGGGAAAGAATCAAACCTCAGCTTGTAGAACTATCTTAACCGCAGCTATCAGTCATCAAATCTGCTCCTTTTTTCTTTCTTAAGTCATGTCACACTTCAATTGCAAAGATGTGCATACCTGAACAAGATCTTGTAGACTCATCCCAGACCCTTGATAATTTTTGGCTATGGAAATGACGAGTCTTATGTTCGATTTTATCATCTTATCCTTGCAAATAGTCCCACGGTTTAAACGCCTCCTCAAGGTCATCTGATCCACTGCTGCTGCAGCAGCCCATTGTGCAAATGTTGGCTCGCCTCCATATCTCTCCACAAGCTCCTCGTGAAGCCGTTCGAGTTTCAGTAGGTCCTGATCATTACCAAACACACGTGACAATCTTATAACCCTACATAGTACTGGAAGAGAAAAGCTCACAGATTTACGTGAAAGATGGTAGGCTTTCGTTCCATAAGGTCACATCACGAGGCCGTGAGCCAAATACAATTATCGCATATGTTCCAGAAGAGGCGAAAATTGAGTAGGGTGATTATTGTAGGTGAAACTAGCACTTCCAAAACAGTATTTTTTTGGGAATATTAATGTTATCAACTTTCACCTCATTTTCACCCTCCTGATTATTATTATTATTTTCCCCCTTCCAGAGCACTATTTCCACCTCATCCCTTTCACCCATTCTGAAACATAGGACAGAAGAGAAAAGAAATATCTACAATATAACCAATGCACCAACAACCTGGTTGCACCTTGCTGTCTACCAAGCTCTAATTAGACAACTAGTAACAACATTTTTCCATTCAGTAATAGCAAATGGAGTCAGTCAGCAGTCTAACCTGTATTCCTTCTGAAAATTCCAATTCTTCAGCAGAAGTAAGAAGCCTCGAAGTGCTTGTGGTAGATCTCAAATAACGCAAAGGGTCAGAATGGTCCACTTCTTGTATAGAGCCACGCTTTCTTCTACTCGCTGAACTAGCTTTTGTAGAAACATTTGCTGCGGAAGAAACCTTCTCAGCTGCTCTAGCGCGTTTCACTTTCCTTTCATTTTGCTTAGTTGATCTCACAGCTATATCTTCACAAAGCTCTTCCTCTAGAATGGAAAGTTCTTCCAGTGTTGGCTCCAAACATTCAGATTCCTCCTTGATAGAAGTATTCTCACTGGATTGGCTTCCTTCTCCATTTGCATCAACTCCCAATATGTCAGCTCGCTCTGCTTCAGTGAGTTGGGACCGAATTGATGAGAAAGTATAAGTGTTTGCAGTCTTGGTTTCTGCTTTCATGGAGTACTGATTGTTAACCAAGGCTACAGCATCTTTGGCAACCTTGACAGCTGCTCTGGCAAGAGCGACTGCTTCAGCAGCTGCTGCTGAAATTACTGCTTCATCGCTAGTAATAAGTGTTTCTGTAGCTAAAGTTGCTTGAAAGGTTTCCTAGACAAGCATCCAATATTAACCAATTCAGTAATGCAGCTGATTGTAGAGTGGGAGGGAGGACTAAATCACAGCAGAAATTTACACGAAAATAAAACTACAATGAAGAGATTTTTTTCTTAGCAACGAACACGTACTATGAAAGATACTAAACCGGTCCAACCCATATACACAAATTAACATTTGAAAATCTTAAAACATGCAAATCTGGTAGATGCCAGTGCCTAGTTCCTCAGATGCTTATATCTCTCATTCATAAGTTCTGGAATAAAGCTCGACATTGGAAATATTGTGTAACAGTTCTCTTGCATTGCTGCTTGTTCCTATATTCACTTTTGTTAAACTCCACAATTTAACATCAAAGAACAACCAAAGCTAAAGAAGTGGTGATCCAACACTTGTCTACAGAGTTACTGTTCCATTCTCATCACTAACTACAGATGACATCCTACCGATAAGAAAAGTTGCACCAATTCTCTGATGGGAAACTAGAAAAACAAGAGGCTGAGACAGGCACTGAAGAATCTGTACGAATCCAATAATAAAAAAAAAAAGCTACCTCTTTAGGCGGACCGACTGCCCCAGTATATGTCCATGTTTTGTTAGCTGCAACCGAATTTGAATGAGGTTCTAAAGAAGAGAGTCTCAACTTCTCCAATTCAAGCACAGCAGTAGATGGGGAAGTTGTTGTTGACAAAGCGCATTGTGCTCGGAAAAACAAATCCTTTGCTGTAGAACCATCAAAAGGGAAACCCTCAAAACACTAGAGAGGGTTACAAACCAAACCATCACAATTCAATAATTCAAATAATACAAAACCTAGCAGGGAAAGAATCTGAAAAATGTCGCTACTACAGAAACAAACACAGAACTGAATCGCCTTTCCAGAAGAAGAAAGAAAAAAAAACAATTCCAAACCCATTGAAGCAAGAACCATATCCACATTGATATACCAAATCAATTAAACAAATCAAACCCATTTCAGTTTTTTGAAAACAAGAGCCAGTAGAAGTGGCGATTGAATGCCAAATAATCGGGAATGGGGAAAGGGAACAGAGCAAGTAAGGAGATGGAATTCAGAATACCATGATGATGATGTTGGCGATAGAGAAGAGGTCTGGAGTGGAAGGAGAAGGTGTTGTTATCTGTTCCCGGTGGGCACTTAAACGGCGGCAACAGACAAGACATAGTAAAATCCCACAATTGATCCTACCTTCTTCCCTTTCATTAATTAAAAGTTGGAGTCTTTCTTCAGCCTTCCGTTGCTAATTACTGTGTAAGCATCGGCAAAACAAAATTGGGGGTGGAGTAGGCAAAGACAAGGGCGAGTGAGAATGTGAAGCATGGAAGCTGTGCTGGGGAAAAACCAGAGGTCAAAGAAGAATAGAGAAGAGGAGGGAGAGGTCTCAGTGTGAGTATTTTGGTGAAGAAGATGATAAAACACTGGATAAGGGTCCCTTTTTAATGGTAGCGGCCAGCGGGCTTGCTCTGCTGACTGCTGAGGTTCTCCTACTATGGACCAGAGCCGCCCAATCCTGCACAGGGCACACTCAGGCCTCAGCCAGCCCAACCTCCTTAAGACCTTAACCGAAATTTGAGTAGTTCTTTGGTTCCAAACATCAAGGGCCACTTGGATTAATGAAGGTGATAGAAACACAAACTTCTTCCATCTTTCCGCTCTCAAACGCCGAAGGTTTAACAAGATCATGGCCTTAAAAACTAGTTACGGGCCCGGCCAGTGAAAAAAAATTCAAAAGTACCATTATTTAAAAAAACATTCCAAAAATATCATCAAACCTAAAAAAATTTCAAAAATACCACCCTTTTTTAAAAACTGCCACCCCACCCTGCGGTTTACACGAAAATCGCTGGGTGCGGGCATGGTTTTCGATGCAAACCGCTGGGCTATGAGGCGGTTATGAAAACCGCTGGGTGAGGCGACAGTTTTGGGTCAAACCGCCACCCCACCCAGCGGTTTGGTCAATTTTTTTTTATAAACTCCTAACTTCGGCCGAAACTTCAAACAGACATAACTTTGCATTCGGGTATCCGATCGTAGCGATTTTTTTGAATCCAAATAACTTTTCGAGATCTTGCAAGTCGCAAACGCCATATGCGGTTTGGTCCCGCCTTCGTCTCGAAAAAACGTCATTTGCTACCCCGAACGAGCCTTTTTTCGATTTCGTCAAACTTTGGGCGGCCATAACTTTGTGCTCCAAAATCCGAACGTCATGAATTTTTTTTTCATTCCGCATAACTTGTCAAGATCTACAACTTTTAACATAACCATAATTTTGAAATGAACATGGATTTGTGAAAAGTAAAGGTAAAGTTATTCCCAAGGTCCAGTATATCCAAAACTAATTCCTGTTTTGAAAATTTCATCCTAGTAAAACTTGTAGATCTTAAAAAGTTATGCGAAATGAAAAAACAATTTATGATGTTCGAATTTCGGAGCAAAAAGTTATGGCCGCCCAAAGTTTGACGAAATCAAAAAAAGGCTCGTTCGGGGTAGCAAATGACTTTTTTTCGAGACGAAGGCGGGACCAAACCACCTATGGCGGTTTGCGGCTTGCAAGATCTCGAAAATTTATTCGAATTCAAAAAAAAAAATCGCTACGATCGGATACCCGAGTGCAACGTTACGTCCGTTTGAAGTTTCGGCCGAAGTTAGGAGTTGTTAAAAAAAAAACAAATTTGACCAAACCGGTACGTGGGGTGGCGGTTTGGCCCAAAATTGCCGCCCCACCGGGCGGTTTTCATAACCACCTCGTAGCCCAGCGGTTTGCATCGAAAACCGCAGGGTGGGGTGGCTGTTTTTGAAAAATGGTGGTATTTTTGAAATTTTTTTAGGTTGGGTGGTATTTTTGGATTTTTTTTTAAACAATAGTATTTCTTGAAAAAGTCCTCGGCCAGTTGGCAATTAGATAAATACCGGTAGTAATTTGCATCAGAGTTACAATAAGAAAATATTAATTAATCAAATATTATAAACATTTGTATAGAATGGTAGAATAAGAAAATCCAAATCATTAAAAACAATTCAAAAGGATTAATAACATAATGTTTTCTAAAGTTTTAATTGAACAATCTACTAATATAATTTTAAGTAATGAAAGAAAATCTCCATGAAAGGGAATCAGACTCCTAAAGATAATTTAAAATTACCCTTTTAATTACTTCTCGTCGCCTAAGATTACTAACATTTTTTTTTTTTACTTGGTTACATTTCTTCCGCCATGAAAAACATAATCATCTCCACGAATCATATGTCTTTTTCTCCAATAGTGCCACATTTATCTGCATCATCATTTAATCTTCATTCTTTTCTAGCATTTCAATAATCTCTTCATTTCTTTCTGCATTTGATTGAGCGATTAAATTTAATGATAATTTTTTTACAAATACAAATCCTTTTTTTCATTGGATTAGAATTTACCTCGTACAATGTATGAACAATATCCATGATTTATTCTTTCACCCCATCCTTAGTCTTTATATCTATCTCATAAACAATTTATTTCTTCTTCTCAACAACAACCTCATCTCTAGCACCGGATCCATTATCTCCACCATTAGCAGTGTCATTCTTGTTATCCTCCATCACCGTTATGAATTTATATCATTGACATTTAAAAGTACAACATATGGTGTGGTATTACGTAATCATAAGTGATTAATACATATTGGAGATAAAATTGAAGTTGGATAAAATTGATTGCACGTCAGTGGAAAAGTAAGTGAAGTTCCATACTGAATACCAAGATTAAAATTACAAAGTTTCTATATTTCCAAGCATGCAGTGAAAGAAATAGAAGGGTGTTCTCTACCTATAAAATTTTATTCATCCAAGCCAATTATGTAAATAAAAAACTCGTCTTCCTTCGCTCGGCAATTGCAAGATAAAAATTATAATAAACTATATAACAAAGTATGACTTGTGCTTGGTATAAAAAATTCATATCCAATAAAGAATAGCACAAATTTGTATTATTATTGATAAATATTTTGATGCAAGCATAATTTACCTCGATCAAGTTAGGAAGATTGTCTATGTTCTGCTCTTCCTCATCTTTCCCTATCCTCATAATTGTTCAGTCACTAGTTGGATTCGCGATGCTCAACATCAAACTCATCCCCTCAATTTGTAGAATATGAGCAGGTGGTGGTTCTCTAAATCAATCGTTGCCCCTGGCATGGTCCATGAAACCAACATCCAAGGAATGGAGCTCCCAGTCCCAGACCACTCCATCCGTAGCAATAAAGTTTGCCTCTATTGATTTGTCTGTAACTCGAATGTGGATTCTAAATCTGCATAATGATGGTAATGTTATAAACAACCACGAAAATTTCTGAAATACATTATTTTGTAGTTGATAAATGCAAAAACTCAAAGTTATTGAATTAATAATTGGAAAATAGTCTCGTAGGATAAGATAAGTGGAAAGAACATGTATTTTCTTAACAATATTCAAAAGATCCAAATGATCATTCCACCACCAAAATATGAGGCAAGCCATCACATAAGCATGATGTTTCAGAATAGAAATATATAGGGAAGCTCATGCTAATCAAGCAATCACCCCATATTATGTTCCCATGCAAACCAAAATGTGAGTAGACGACAAACGTAGCCTCCCAGAATCTCCGGGAATCTCTTCAAATTAACACTATTTAATATGTAACATGTACACAATCTTTCATTGTGTATTAGTACCATGCATTACTAATTATTTAGAAAAATGTTGTTAATTCTTGGACTGGTAATATATTTACGAATTCAACAAATTGTATATTTATCAGCGAACTATATAAAACCCCATTTTCAATATAATTAATAATGGTTGCATTCTAAATCAACTCCGCCAACTTGCTTACTTTGTTCAATATGACCTCTTGATTTGAGTCACAATCAATTGAAATGTGAAATCGAGAATAAGCAGTTTTGCCTCCAACCATTAGCAAAGTTGCAATATCGGAAGAAGCAATACATAAAATTATACACGTAGTTTTAAATAAATGACTTTCCAAAGAAATGTTTTACCTGTACCTCCAAATTCATTAACAAAGAAGCAGTTCCAATTTTCTTCATCGTCATCTTGAACAATTTTATTGAATGACTTCCTCTGCTCTGAATTCAATTTTGGATACAATATATTGAATTCCTTCATAAAATCTTTTGTATTGTAATTTAACTCCTCATAGATCATTCAATTTCTGTATTTAATCACATAGCTTCATATGGAATAGGCAAACCTAGAAAATTAGTTAGTGACCTCCAATATTTGTGTAACTATTTTTCTATCTCCACTAAGCATATATCTTTAATCTCATCAATAGAAAGATTCATATTGTGAAAATTTAATACCCTTCTACTATTGAACATGATATCATTTCTCAACAATTTCCAAATTTTTCTCCAAAAAGATTGCACATCTAACACTTGGCAATGGAAAAGATTTGTTAAAAACAAATTACTTACTTTATATCTAGAACCCCAAGATGCAACTTCTTTCAAACAATCACTCCACTCATCATCATATGCTAATAACTAAAGAGCATAACATGCTTTTCGAAAGGAATCATGAACAACAATATTAACTGTTCTAATTTCTTCATAAGAACGACAACCTATGACTAAATGCAACAACATGCAGAGATAAAATCTTTCTTTGCTTGATGGAGGACAATAATATAATCTTCCAATACAAACTTTGTTTTTCCTCATCTTCCACCTTTTTAACTTCCGATTCCAGACAAATATTGAGAAAATTCAACAAATGTATATTTTCGTTCCTCAGAAGAATGAGCATTGATTTATCCTTCCGACTCCACAATAGCATTGATGTTTCATTTCTTTCAATAGCTTTTTCAATATTTTCGTTCCCCTTTGTCACTACTTTATCCTTCACAGACAAATGACATGGCATACATAACACAGAAGGTGAATTACAGCTAACATCAAAGTTCAAAGTCTTCGACATGCTCACCTGATCTGATGTAAGTCATGTAATGACAATCTAGAAATTATTTAATCTCATCAATTCAAATGCATGGTGCTGAAGAATTTTCTTGGTTAAAAAGTACTCATTTTCTCTCTAAATCGCACATGGCATGAGAACACATTAAATTGTAAGGTGTATATAATTAGAGTAATCAAATTAGTTGTAGTTGTAGTTACATTCATTTTTAGTGATCAAATTGAAGCACTATACGGTTGTTTAGATAATTCTGTCTGGAAAATTTCTTCGAGGTATAGAACTACAAAAAATGGGGTCGTCACAAATATTGATGTAAATAATATAAACGGAATAGTATGATTCAGTCATTAAAAATATTAATCTAAATCATATAAGCAGAATAGTTTAATGGTGGGTACTAACAGTAGGAATTTGCTAAGCTGACTTGCAAGTCTTCATAACTTGGACGAAACGG